AGCTTCCTGCCTCAGCCTCCCAGAGTGCTAGGATTACAGGCGTGTTTGCATCACCCACTGTGCCTGGCTGAAAGATTTTTTTGGGTACCAGGGATTGAACTCAGGACCTTGTATTTGTACTTGTACTTGTACAGGACCTTGTACTTGCAAGCAGTGGAACCATTGAGCTAAATCCCCAGCCCAGTCTCTTAGTAAGTCCCTGGTCCTGAAAGATCTTTTTTGATAGCTGATTAGGACAAGGATGGCAAGCTTCACCTCTGGAGCACATTGATCCTGCTGATGGTGTTGAATGGTCCACAAAATAAGAAATTTTTTAAGTACTAGGGAAAAATGGCAGAAGATTTTGTGAGATGTGAGAACAAAATTCAAATTTCAGTATTCGTAAGTAAAGTTTTACTGGAACGTGGCCATGCCCATTTGTTCAGAAATATCTGGCTACATTTTGTACTCCCATGGCAGGACAGACTTGATGGCACACAAACCTGAAATATTGACCTGAAATAGCCATCTCACCCTTTATCGTAAAAGACTACTGATGTCTTGTGAATATTATTCATTAGGACAATAATTTTTTAAAATAATAGATATTCTGTTAGAAACAGCTGGGTACAGGAGATCATGGCTGAGCTTTGTTAAGCTTCCCATACACTAATTTCTAGATACCCTCAAGGATGCAAACACAGTATGTTTCAAAAATATCTACTCTGCGAGTTTTCTTTTAAAAAATAGCAGTATTTCCTTAGTATGTAAAAAAGTCAGCTTGGGTTATTTTTACATTCCAATTTTAGCGGATTTAAATTCCTTTATTATAAGTGTTATGGCAAGAATGTAGGTTTCACCCAGACTAAAAAGCAGGGTAGTGACAAACCGCTGAAAATCATGGCAACATCTCTGTTAAACACCAGCAAACCTGGAGTTTTAAGAGCAGAAACTCATCCCTCTGATTGCTGTCCACTTAGTCTTTTATTATTTGGAGACTTAGTCTGTGTTCTTCGTCCTGCTGATTATAGAGTGTGGGCAAATGTGCCTTTGTAGCAGGAGATGGTTCCATGGAACCAGAAGAGAGAGCAGCACTACTCGTAAATGCTTCACCACCCTGGGATGAATGGAAGGAAGACCTCTCCCCACTAGGTAGTTCTGTGTGTATCGCCTCTCAGCCCCAGCTGCCAGCTCTCGTTATCTGTGCTACGTTCTTAAAATTCATTTTGTTCTTGCCTTCCACATGGACCTGATGGTTGAGAAAAGGAGTAATTTTTAAGATCACAAATTTGGAGTAAATCTGTTCAGGATTTTTAATTGCATAAGCAATAGAGTTATTGCCTACAAGCTGATCAGTGGGCTTAGGTCCACAATGCTTTGAGAGGGGAAAAAAGACTATTTTTTAAAACTCTGTGGAAAATACATAACTTATGCACCTCTGAGGCTTATCTAAACCTCCAACTTGGGAGGAATTAGGTGTACTGCTTATTGCAGAATATCTGAGAACCCACAGCTCAGATTTAACCTGGAGAATTATGTATCTTTAACGCAAAATGTATGTTTAATGCCTTACATGGTGCATTGAGGCACTACAAAACGCAGATGAGCCCAGATTTTTACTTTTAGGAATCAGATTTCTACCTAGCTCATTCTTTATGAATTAAACATTTTCCTAATGCAGCTTGTCACATACAGCCCACACTAGACTGTTGTAACTTAGCCTTTTTTGAGTGGGGTGTCACACCATCAGGAATGGGGACAAGGTTGGGGCAGTGATGAGGCAAGAGTTCCAGAATGTCAGGAGGCATTAACTTGCAGGTAGGTTAGTAGCCTCTGAAATGGCATAGTGTAGGCACTTTTCTTGCCCCTCTCTTGTCATGGCCCTGATCAGGGTTCCTTCGAAGTGCTTTGAATAAAGCACATTTTTGGGTAAGATCCAGAGCATATAGAAGTTAGTGAGATAGAACCCAGGAATCTGCATTTAACCTTCTCTCTTGGTTTGATGCACATTGAAGATTCAGGGTCCTCTACAGCCCAACAGGACAAAAGCTGCTCCACTAGCCTCAGGTTACAACCCTTCTGGGATAGTAGCTTTAAAGTAAAACACCCAGTTAACTGGCCCACAGGAAAAGGTAGGCCAGCCAGACCATACCATTGCTAGCCATGGCCATTGTGTAACTACTACCAGGTGTCGATGCTAGAAGGCTTAGATCTCAGAGCACTTGTCACCAAAGCTATATGTAATTGATTATGTAATTTTGGATCCTTCCAATTTTTTTTAATTAAAATGTCTTATAGGTTCACTTTTGGCTTCATGTTTTGTGACAGTAAAATAAAATTGGAGAGTAAGTCAGAAGAATAAATAGGAACTATCTGTAACTCTACAGCCCAGATATAATCATTTTCAACACTCTTAAGCATTCTTTCAGTCTTTAAAAAGTTTTTTCTTCTGTTGAATTAATATTTAGTTTCACTAAAAGTCCATCTTGTGTCATTGTAGTTATTAGGATAAGTATTAGTTATTAGGATAAGTGATAACAGTAATGTAGGTATAGATAGATTTGTATTATGAACTTCAATCCTATTTGAATTCTGGTATCCAGTTACCTCTGCCTTCTATGTGTAGACTTCTCACACATCATTAGTGTCAATATTTTTTTAAAAATCACTTGGCTGGGCACGACTGAGGATTTCTTATTACACTCTTGTAAGAACTGGAAATAGTTCTACTACTCCAGAAAGTCAGCTTTAGGTCCCTTCTTGTGTGTCTCTTTGATTGCCTTGAGGGTGGGATCTTAAACATTTTGCAGCTCTTTCCTTGTGTCTTCTGTGGCTCAGACCTTGTGCTAGGAGTCAGTTCTGATCAGTAAGGTTTCTGCTCTTGAGGACATGGAGGCTGAAGGAGGTGGCAGACCATGATCTGGCCTAACCCATCAGGTGTTCCTAAGTGCCATGAGGGTGGTGTAAAGGACCAACCAGCTTGGTTTTGGAGAGTTGGAGGTAATTTGGAAAGAGAGGTGATACTTAAAGTGAGTCAGAGAGACCTACCGTACAGTGCCTGCAGTCTCCAGAAAATAGCATTCTCCTAAGAGTCCACTATTTTTTTTTATGTGTTATGTCCTACTTTTCAGCCTGATCACACAGTTGCCCATGATAATTAAATGAAACTTGCCAGATGGATGCTTTTGCAAGATGATGGCTCGTCTTCTTGCTCTATTTGTGAAAGCTGGCATTGGATCCAAACTCTCAAGGATGTTCCTACCTTGAGAATGCTTTGGAAAGCCATCTTTCGTGTGTCTTTGCCAAATGGCCTGCCCATCAGCAGGGCCAGGTTGAGTGACAGGTGGGTGTGTCATGCATGTGGACACCCTCATCCCTGCCAACTGGTTTTCCTCCAAGAAGGTGAATGCTGAAAGGTCAGTCTCCATAGAAATCATTTATTAGTTTTACCTTTCTTTGGGAAGAAAAACTTCTTAAGCTTCTGATCTGTCAGCTTCTCGCCACATCTGTTTTTCCTGTCAGTTGCATTAGAATTGATGTTGAGTTCCCAATCAGGTCATAACACACATGATCATATTATTTTAAAGAAGCAGGGCCGGGGATTTAGTTCAGTGGTTCCACTGCTTGCCTTGCAAGCACAAGAACCTGAGTTCAATCCCTGGTACCAAAAAAAAAAAAGCAATTTCCAGGTCATTGAAGGGAGTATGAAAAGTGGCTGATACAGTTAAGTTATAACTAACTGGATTAACCAAAGAGGCTGTCCCCTTGGTTCTCCAAGTAGGAAGAATAACTGAGTGAACAGTAGTAATAATAATAATAAAAGTATTGTTTCATTTCTTCATGTCACTCCTAGTTCTTTGTATGCTCTTTTTTACTTGTCCCAACATCTCTATGAGATGTCTCCTGTTATCATTCCCATTTTACACATGGAGAAATAGAATTCAGTGGCAGAGAATGGGTAAGTATGGGATCTGGTGTTCAAACTGTCTAGTGCACACCACCCTCATGGTTCTGTGCTCAGCCTTGGAGCAGTGGGAGCTGCCCTTCTAGGAGTACAGGGGAACACATCACCACCCTTGTCCTCAAGATTCTCGTAGTTTAGCATACTCATCCTCAGAGGGATAGGAACCATCAGGTAATTAGAACAACCCAATCTAAATTCATCCTCCTTTCACTTTAGAAATAATTTGAAGAACTTGAACTTGTTGAATACCCATTGATTATTATAGTTACACAAAAATGTCAAATTAGAAGCTTCCTGCCGATGCAATTTATGTTTTTTGCTGATTATATGCAGACTCTTGACACATGTATGAATAAAATTCTTGAGCTAGTTTCCTCTTCTAATTTTCTGTTTGGTTTTTGGATCTTAAATAAAGATTTGGGGTTAAAAATCTATATTGTCTTTACCTGATGTTTTAGCTTCCCTATGAACAGGCTGTTTCTACTCTTTATCATCTCTGTCCCTCTGGTACCTTAAAAGAGAGTAGGGCCTGCCTGCCTGCCCGCCCGCTCGCTCGCTCACCTCCCTCCATCCCTCCCTCTCTCTCTCTCTCTTTTTGTTAACAGCTCCTAATTTCATCTATTTCAGTTCCCACAGTCACTATACTTGTCACAGGTACAGTAATTTGAAATCCCCTTGGCAGGAATCCTTTGACCAGGATTGGCTTGGAATCTTGGAGTCTGGACCTGAAGCAATCTTTTAAATTCCCACTTACTGGAAGCAGAAACTGGTGGTCCTCTGCCCTCTGCTTCCAAGGGTTGGTGGCCACTTCCCTGTCTGGTGGTGGTCCAGCCAGACTGGACAGCAGTCACTGTGAACATCATTGCTGGCTGGGTCCGATCCTTATGTCCACCTCCCTGTATTTTCCACTCCTGGCTCAGATTCTCCCCCTTTAAACAGTGTGCCCTCCATCTCATAGGCAGATCCTAAGGGCTCTAAGGATTAGAAAGAGTGGCTCAAATCTCTGAGGCCTTTCAGCAGTCTGACATATGGTTTCTTCTCTTTTTTTTTCCTGCAGCAAAACCAGAAATCCTGATTTATGACAGGCTCATGAATGGCATGCTCCAGTGTGTGGCAGCGGGATTCCCAGAGCCCACAATAGATTGGTATTTTTGTTCAGGAATGGAGCCAAGGTGAGATGATTATTTTTGGCACTGCTTAAAATGCAGAAGGGAAGGACTATAATTCAGTTGAATTTGAAATATGTTTTCAGATTTTTTTATGAAAAAGCTTTGTTTTGATTATTATTTTTTTAATCCATGTGGCTTTTTAAGAGACGAATAATGACTATACTTTTCCTGGTAGACATTAATTTTGTTTGCTGAAAAATGATTACTGAATGACTTCTTTATTTTGGTGATTATCTTTTTGGATTTATCATGCAATTTCTAGCCTGCAGGTAGATAAAGCAATTTTCTAGGACAGAGTAATTAGATTTTCATTCTATACACAGGAGGTAATGTGTGTGGGAAATGTGGCTGTAGTTATCATGAAAAAATTACCTCACAAGTTAATTGTCAAGTTACCAAAAAGTAATGATCACGCAATTACAATATACATATGGTGTTTGTAAGCGGCGGATTTTAAAAAGGTTTTCTCCTTGATTAGGTGCCCAGGCCCTGAACAGAGAACATCTGGCATTATGCTGCCTCTCCTTCACAGTCCACACTTAAGCCTTAAATTGTCTTTTCACGTTACCTGAAGACGAAAATGGGGTCAGCGTTGCTGTTTTTATCCATCATATGCTATTTAATGCTCTGGCTTTAAAAGCCCATTTTAACATCAGAACTGAGTGGTCAGAATAGTGGTAGAAATTTTATTTTTTACAGAATAGACTTTTTTGTTTTGCTAATATGTGAGAAGGGGTTACATAGGATTATTGTTTTGGGGGGAGCTTTATGGAATATTTTCTTTAGGGAAGTGATAAGGAGGGCCCAAGATCTCTGCCTTTAGGAGACTATAAAAGTCTCTCAGTTGCCAAGGCTGAGTTTGAATGTGTGATCCTTCTACCTCAGTGTCCCGTAGTGCTGAGATGAGGGGCCTGCACCACCACACCCAGTTTGTCTCTGAGTCTTGGGATAGATGCTATAGGTGTGTTTAGGTCAGGCTTCAAATTTACATTTAGCTCCAAAACTTCTTCCTCTTCCACAAGTGCGGCACCTTCTCAGGGCCGCAAAAGTAACTCTCATTCTGAGGGCCGTAGAAGAGGAAATTATTACTAATCATGAAAATTTAACTTTGCTGTAAATACATGCCAAATCCAAGGCATTTTTACGTGTTTGTTTCTTTCCCTTGAACAAGCCTACCTTGTTCTTTTCTGTCCCTAGATGTTCTAATTCTGTACAGCCAGTAGATGTCCAAATCCAGAACTCCTCTTTGCCACCGTTTGGAAAACTCCTGGTTCAGAGCTCCATAGATTCTAGCATGTTCCGGCACAATGGCACGGTCGAGTGTAAGGCTTCCAACGATGTGGGCAAGATTTCTGCCTTTTTTAACTTTGCATTTAAAGGTAACAATAAAGGTATATTTCTTTTTACTCCAATTTAAGGGGATACTAGGCTTTGTCTGCCATGCCACTCATGACTTCAAGTCCATTTCAGCACGGGCTGTATCATTTCTGGTACTGCTTGCATCATGCCCCACTGTCATCAAATTCACCAAACTTCATCCCGCACTACTTCGTTAATGAAATTTATACTTCTCCAGAGTACTTTCAACCATTCAACCACATTTCTTTGTATATTATACAGACATTTATGTCTTTCTGTATATTCATAATTGTCTCCATTAGAAAGAGGTGGAAAGTAAATAACGGAGTATATTTACCTTATGCTAACACATAATTAGGTCAATTTAAGATTTAAATTCAATTACACATTTGTATTACTCTTCCATGTGTCAATAAAGAGAGGAAAAAAAAAATGAGGGCAAGGGATTTTAGCCCGGTGGTGGTACCTTTGCCTCGTGAGCTCAAGGTCTCGAGTTCAATCCACAGCTCCAAAATATTAAAAAAAAAAAAGTTATGACTTTTCCAGACACTGTATCAAAAAGTTAACCCTGACCTTGATGTCATCATGCTAGCAAGCAATTTTTTTACAATGTGCTTCATGAGTTACTAGCTCTTTTAGCATAATTTAAATCATCCTTGAGGAAAAATTGATGAATTGGTATAAAGTTAGAAGACAAACTTGGCACTTAAATATTTAGGGCTTAGTTTTTTGTCATCTTGTGATTTTCTTTTTTTCTTTTGAGTTGGCAAGACTGAGGCAAAAAGTAATATTTCTTCAGCTTTTTAGTAATGAGAAGAATCTTATATTGTTCTACATTATTGATCTTTCTAGACAGGGCAATGAAAAGCATACTTTAAAAGTGTTTTTCTTAGTTGTAAAAGACATTTATGTTCAGTGTAGAAAATTTTGCAAACATAAAGCATAAAGGAGAAACTATAAACTGTTCATAAAGGAAGATTAAAATTGTCTAAGGCAGGGTTTTGAAGTGGAAAGTTTATTCAGATCTTGTTTTGCTTTGAAACAGCATAAAAGTATTTATATGTTACAGAAATTTAAACTTCTCAGTCATCTGGTTCAAGGTTGTGTTTTGATTCCTTTGATAGACTACAGTAAATTGTAAGCAAGTGTCTCCTGCATGAACTGTGGGATGTGATGTGGGTCCATTTGGAATAGAGGGTTGACCAAAGACCCTGTCTCGCTAATAATTTGCGGTTCCTTCTTCTCTTCTGTTTTAGAACAAACCCATCCCCACACCCTGTTCACCCCTTTGTTGATTGGTTTTGTGATCACAGCTGGTATGATGTGCATCATTGTGATGGTTCTCACCTACAAATGCTTACAGGTAACCATCAATTTGTTTTCTCCCTTGAGTGCTATAATGGCCAAGGCATTAATCATTAAAAGGTGATATATCTTTCTTTTTCTCCCCCAGAAACCCATGTATGAAGTGCAGTGGAAGGTTGTTGAGGAGATAAATGGAAACAATTATGTTTACATAGACCCAACACAACTTCCTTATGATCACAAATGGGAGTTTCCCAGAAATAGGCTGAGTTTTGGTCAGTATGAAACAGGGACTTTCCATGTAGCCTTTTTGGGTGCATAGAACAATGCTTTTAGGGAACTTTGGTGGCTTCCTTTGTTCTATTCCACCTGAAACAAGAAATGTTTGCTGTGAAATTTCACAGGCATTGATAGGTTTGGCAGAGGGAACATTATAGGGAAATGTCTCTAGACGCATTTGTCTTGAATTCCTTTGTGGATTTGGAAACTTCACAAGTGGTTCTTCAGTGTCACTGCCACCTCTGACCTTGCCATTCTTCTTTCTAAAGGGAAGACTTTGGGTGCTGGCGCCTTTGGGAAAGTTGTGGAAGCCACTGCATATGGCTTAATTAAATCAGATGCAGCCATGACCGTTGCTGTCAAGATGCTGAAGCGTAAGCGTCTCTGGGCTAGTGGATGTGCCTAATACCAGTTTGCCAAATTTGGGTTTTTGGGTTTTTTTGCTAAAATAAGCTATTTCCAATTTTAGCGAGTGCCCACTTAACGGAACAAGAGGCCCTCATGTCTGAACTCAAGATTCTGAGTTACCTTGGGAATCATATGAACATCGTAAATCTCCTGGGAGCCTGCACTGTTGGAGGTAAGGCTGTGTCCTCTTGGTCTTTAATTATGTCAGGTTACCAAAAGGGGGGTGTTATAATATTATATTGACAATGCCTTATTATAAACGGCTCACAAGATTTTTATCCAGAAATTTGTTCTCTTTCACTAGCTATTGTTTTCCTCATGGTTCTCAAGAAATGCAGTTTATCACTTCTGTGTTCTAAGAACCCTCCAAGTCTATTTATTCTGAGACGTATTATTATTAGAGACTATCACTGTCCCACTGTGCAGTAGAACATGAGAACCACTTCCTCCCCTCTAAGTGTGTTTTGGTGCCCATTCCCACCCTCTCAGTACTCCCCACCCCTTCGTAGCCTCCAATGACCTATATTCTATTCACTCCACAAATGAGTGAGAATATATTTATCTTTTGTACCTGTCTTATTATTATCCTGATTTGATCACTACACATTATGTGTATGTACTGCACATTATAATAAAGTACCCCATAAATAAGTTCAGGTATTATATGTTAATAAAAGAAGAAACATTTGGGGCTGGGGATTTAGCTCAGTGGTGCTGCCCCTTGCCTTGCAAGCACAAGGGCCCAAGGTCGACCCCCCAGTACCAAAAAAAAAAAAGGGAATTTATATTGAAAGCATAAATAAGTGGCCAAATTGATGAATAATTACATAAATTTTAAAGAAGAATGTGAATTTTACTTTTATCACCCTATAAAAAACAGCCCAGGACATAGGATATATAGGATAGCTACCATCCTATATATTACATCAGAAATATCAGTCTCTTGAATGTCCCATCTCAACCAGAGGAATTTTGTCATTTTGTGTTGCTGGATCATGCTTAGTCATTAAAGAGTTAATATTCATTTGCATGCCATGATTTAAAATAGGTCCCTAAGTTGCCCAGTTCTGAAATATATGCCAAACGAAGAAAGTGTTTCACTTCTATAAAAATAAATTTCCAATTCTGCAGTCTTAGTCGAGGCTCCATTGAGGATGTCTTTGTTTGCAGAAGGCATTTTGGTCTAAAGAAACAAAAATGTGTAAGACGAGCTGTTTGTGGAGATTTGGAGAGACCATGGAAAGTTGACAGCTTTAGATAATTTCGTAAAACCAGCCCTCACAAGTCCGTGAGAAGCTCTTCACCATATCATGAATTGTTCATGAGACATTTTCTACCCAAGGCAGTTAGTTGCCTGTTAGCTTCAGAACTAGTTTTAAGCATTCGTAACACCAAAATTCTCTTCTGTTAGTAGTGCTCAGAACAGGGGTTGTTTCAGGACTTTGCCCATCTTCCATTCTGGTCTCAGCTGCTTGATCCATGTGGCTGATTTTCCTACTCTGCTGCAGTCTTGGCTCTTCATTTCCATAATAACATTTATCATAATGGGTGGTGAAACCCTGCCATAAACAGAAGTGAATCAAGGATTCACGTAGGAAGCTTGGTAATAGTAGTGAAAGCTATCACTTCTGCCTGACTTAACATTCATGTCCCTTAGAAATTCAGGCTGAGGCAGGATCATAAGTTTGAGTCTAGCTTGGGCAAGTTGGTTGCCTCAGCAAAACCCTGTCTTAAAAAAGGACTGAGGACATAACTTAGTGTGAAGGACCTAGTTTCAATCCCCAGGACCATTATGAAAGAAAAAAAAATTAGATGAAAAAGGAGTTGCTTGTTTAATTTTACTCTGTATAATGTTGCTTTTTAAAGTGATGTTAATAGAATTGTATTGGGACATTCATTGAAGCTGACTGTTAATAGTCATGATCACCCCTGGGCATTTTTGTGGGAGACAGGATTATCTCTAGTGTATAGCCTCACCTCTTTTTAACCTTTTCTTATATCCTTGTAGGGCCTACCCTGGTCATTACGGAATATTGTTGCTATGGTGATCTTTTGAATTTTTTGAGAAGAAAACATGATTCATTTATTTGCTCAAAGCAGGAAGATCATGCAGAAGCAGCACTGTATAAGAACCTTCTGCATTCAAAGGGGTCTTCCTGGTAAGGCCGATTTGTATAAATAGCTGTTGACAGGCAGTTCATAGGGTCACAAGGGCTTGCAATCAAAGCTGATTCTGTAAAAAAATGAACCAAGGTACTCTGAGGTGTGAAATCAGAATTATTAAATTATTTAAATGTGATTAACTGTTTAGGAAGTTCAAATGGTGTTTTTCACGATTCAAATCATGTTAAACTTAGATATTTGTTTTTTTAACATATTCGTGTTTAGTTTTTTTCTCCTGAGCCTTTGTTCTGTGTAATTGAATGACTTCTGTAATTGTTACTTTTATCATGGTTCTGTTCTTATATGCATTTACATTTATACTGCTGAGCATGGTCCTATATGAATCTTTTCCCTTTCCTTTTTTTTTTTTTTTTTTTTTTTTTTTTTTTTTTTT